GCCACACCACAGCTCTCTTGGGAGAGTGACGGGTCACTCTCATGTAACCCCGTTACATAATGAGCGCCCAGCACCAGCGGTCTCACGATGGGAATTATTAGATTTCCCAAGTTAAAAAGCATTCGTATGCTGGTGAGCGTCATCAGACGAGCGGTCATCGCATCTAACCATTCTGAAGTTGTATATAATCAAAATTTATTCTATTAAGACTCACACTGTGTTCACGTCTATCATATCTTACAAAATCGATTTAATTATCAATATGCGGCTTGTGCACGATCCTTTCCCCTACTGAGACCCATCATCATATAAATATCGATACTTCGGTTTTTATGAATATATACACATAGGACAAACAAGCAGTGTTGTATTTAATTTAGTGTCTCAAAATGTAAAAGTAATACGTAGCTTTTCACTACGTCATTTTGGCCTTACACTTGCATCTGAACATACATGACATGCTCACATGGCTAACAAAAAATCAGTATTGTATTCATTTACCAGATAAGCAAGGTCAAAAGCCCTTTTGGGTCTGTACAAGACAATCTAATAGTATCCGCACTTGCCGACCTGCTCGCTATCAAGACATGAAATCAATTGATCTGGAGCTTCGTGGTCATTTGTTGTGTCGACAACAAGTGGTTTGTCGACCGAAACGACAATAGCGCCCGTATAAATCATCACATTTAGATTACCAAGTGACTAATGGTATCCTAACACAAATGATTTGTTTTCGTCTTTTTTTTCAAAAGCTTTGGTCATCGACGGCGCTCGTTTCTGAATTACTCAGTCATTATTCAATCAACTACAAAACTTTATTGTTAGTTTTGCTTTTCTTCTTCGAACATATCGACATACAAAGGAGAATAGACAGCGTAGAACTAACGATAATTTGATCTGAACGCATAAGAACACTTTTTCTTGCTCGCACTAAACGCAACTATTTGTTACAGCCAGCCGAGCTATGACATCTATCAGTACCACCTAAGCGCAGTTGCAATCTAATGCCTTTTTCAAAAGTACAAGCTGAATAACGGCAAGAGGCTCAGACTATTGCCTTTCAAGCGGTGAATTCTATTCGTTGTAATATACACTTCATGCACTGTTAGCTCTGTCAAAATCGTGAACACCTCTTGAGTAACAAAACCTTAACGAGAATGGTAACGTCTTGATTCTGGTTTAATCGTGTCATTAGAAAAATGAGTAAGCAGTGCTGTTTTTATGTTAAAAGTTGGGCGGGAATGTGACAATAGTCGAGATGAGTATCGATTCGAGCAGAATCCAATAGCCACACACAGGTACGCTGTCTCGAGAAGTATCCATGGTGTTAAAAAGAGACTAACGAGCTCTCGACGTTTTAAAAAGATTAATTCATTTAGGGATAAGGACAGCGCACTGTCACCACAACGCATACCTTCTCTTTCCAAGCAATTAATCACCATAGCAATCGACACTTCAGCAAATGTGTCAGTCACGACAATATGACTTAAAAGTAGTATATACGCCAGACGAAAGGCGCCGTGAGTGCTGGTCATGAACCCCAAACTATATACAGTAACATTTAATACTGGACGAATGAGAGCAAATGAGTAAGTTGAGTTGGTGGATGGAAACTTTGTGATGCTTATGCCTAACACGGTTTGAAGAACGATACAACCAAGCGAAAGGATTCGAATCACTCGTGTATGCGCTTTGAATAAAGCTACTTCTCGAACTTCGCCTGAACCAAAGAAATGTTGTCGGACTCGCATGTTGATAATTGTATAAACCAATGCAAACACGAGTGGACCAGAGCTAAGTATTTTAGCAAGCAAGTAAATGTTTTGCGTGTACCAATCCGTCATGACGATTAGCGAGTCTTCTTGCTAAAATAAATGAGATAAATTTTGTCATGGAAATATTCGTGAGACGCTGCGAAACCCCCTTAAACACCACTACCACTTTATCATTGCTAGTACCGACTCTTTCTCGAATCCAAACGCTACCAACACTCACTAGCTCAGCACGATATGACAAAGCGTTGTTTTATGTGCTTGGAATGGTGAGTACTGCATTATTTCTTCTACTGTATGCATTCAAATTTATCGATCGACGTTTAACAATATCTCTGCATCTTCAAAATTGGTTGGCTACGTTTGAATTCGAACTGTTTATATAAACTCCCAAACAACACCAACACATCATTTCGCTTATTGTGTTAAGAATGCTCTCATCCTTATAGTATCACTCAATTATCATCTAGAGCGCTAAAAGAATTATTGTATTTTGGAATAAAATATTCAGAGTAAAAATTACGGTAAAATATAGAAAAATACGAAATTAACAAAATTAAGACGCTTTCATCCTTAGACAATGTCTCGCCATCGTAACGTACGCAATCGCGCGTATTCATACGAAGACGAAGGTAAGTTTATCACTACTTGATGAAATTATTGCTTCTTACAATCATTATCCTTCAGATTATGACGAATATTACGATGACAATGAGCCTCATTCCCCTAATTCAAGTGAGGATCGGATCCTGTTAATTTCTCTATTTTTCAAACACTAATGTTTTATGACGTAAAAATAATGAAATATATAGACGAATTTATGTATCGCCGAGATTCACCTAGCCATCAGCAATCAATCTTCTCTTTCGTTCAGCAAGAAGAGATTGAATATGTTCCAGACATTAAAGTATCAAATGCTCAGATCGATGAAGTGAAAGATGGTGAGATTTTAGCCAAAATGGTTCCTAAGGTCCAAGAAATTGTTAGCAATGAAGTTTCAATTCAAGAAATTACTCAAGAACTTCGTCGTGAAAATTACGATCTGGATAAGACGGTGGTGAATTTATTGGAAAGAAACAAAGTTTCAAGTAGTGAATTACCATTAGAGATTGAGATATCGAGATTAGAAGCGATAGCAATTGCTATTGATAATGAAAAGAGGGAAGAGTTGAAAAGGAAAAAGGAGATTATCATGCCTGCTCCTGTTAAGGGTAAAGCTGTGACGATACGTGGAACATTTTCGACATTGGAAAAGACAGAAGACGAGAATCAAAGTCGTGTCTTCGTAGCGACAGAGTCAGCAATTTCACGAGCTCAGACGCAATTTAGTGCAGCAGAAAAAAATGCATTTGAACGCGCTGAGTTGAAAACACAAGAAGAGGCTTTAAAATTAGAGGAAGTAGCTCGCACGAGAGGCAAGACAAAGATCAGTATGGTAGTTATCGGACACGTGGATGCTGGAAAGAGTACCATTACGGGTCATTTACTTTACAAACTTGGGTATGTGAGCAAGCGACTGATGCATAAGTACGAAAAAGAGTCACAGGAAGCTGGCAAATCATCGTTTGCGTACGCTTGGGTCATGGATGCAGACGAAGAAGAACGCTCACGTGGAGTTACGATGGACGTGGGTACAAGTTACTTTGAAACTATAACAAAACACGTGACATTATTAGATGCACCTGGACATCGCGATTTCATTCCAAAAATGATTGTAGGTGCGGCTCAAGCAGACGTCGCATTGTTAGTTGTGCCTGCTGTTACGGGTGAATTTGAGGCCGCGTTTGAAAATTCTGGTCAGACTAAAGAACATACGCTGCTTGTGCGAAGTCTTGGTGTCTCACAAATGATTGTCGCAGTCAACAAGATGGATATGGTACGTTCTGTCGTAAAGGTAATTGACTAGTTAGTTAATCCTGACATTTTTGATCACAGGTTCATTGGGATAAAGATCGTTTTGACATGATTGTAAAATCACTTTCAACATTCCTTCAGGGCGTAGGATTTCGCTTAAAGAATTTGCGTTTCGTTCCGTTAAGCGGGATCACAGGCGTCAATCTAGAGACAACA